GAATGGTCAAACAAACAGGGATTTACTTTTTCAAAACAGAAAACTGTGTGCGTGCACTTTTGTAGGAAGCGTGGTCTCCATCCTGAACCTGAGTTATATCTGAATGGTACAATTATTCCAGTTGCGCCTGAAGTAAAATTTTTAGGAGTGACGTTCGACCGAAAATTGACTTTCCTTTCTCATGTTTTAAACCTGAGAAAGAAGTGTCTAAAAACACTAAATATTTTAAAAGTGTTGGCGAACACCTCCTGGGGTGCAGAGCGTTGCTCCATGCTTCGCATTTACAGAGCGCTCGTCCGCTCTAAACTGGACTATGGCTCAGTTGTTTATGGATCCGCTCGGTCATCTGTTTTGTTAAAACTGGATCCTGTTCACCATCAAGGCTCTGCGGATTTGTTCAGGAGCTTTCAGGACTTCTCCTGTCCAGAGCCTGTATGTTGACTGTAACGAACCATCACTTTATCTGAGGCGTGAGCAATTGTCCCTTTTGCAATATTTTAATATTCTATCCCAACCTGAACATCCCAATAAGCTGTGCTTACTTGATAATGAGTGTAACACTTTATTTGAAACACGTCCATCCTGTGTTCCTACCTTTTTCCTTTAAGAGTTCGCCCTGTCATTGAGGAACTTTCCCTCTCTGATATGCACCCCCAAGCAGTACAGAATTTTGAAATTCCACATTGGGAAAATTCACGGATTCAGCTTCTTGATGTTTTCAAACATCATGTGAAGGCAAGCACTAACGAGATCGTTTGCAGACAACTCTTCGCTGAACACAGGGACAAATATAGCAGTTATCATCCGATATACACAGATGGATCAAAGTCAAATGATCATGTCGGGATGGCTTTTGTATTTGAAAGATTACATTAGAGGGCAGATGCCTGCACCATGCTTTCTCAGTCCTAACATCTGAACTAACTGCAATATATTATGGTCTTTTGTACATCTCAAAGCTCTGCCACAAAAAGTTCATAGTTTACATACAGACTCGTATAGTGCTCTTAAATCCTTGGAAGCTTTTTCCCAACACTCAGAATCCTGTGGTAGTGGATGTTCTCAAAATTCATATAAATTTAACGATTCGAGGATATGAAAGTCCTGTACTGCTGGGTTCCCTGGACATACGGGAATAAAAGGGAAATGAGCTTGCAGATATCGCAGCAAATCTGCTGTTGAACTGTCCAGTCGCCTTATCCCTTTTTAGAGACATCTGCTGTGTCATCAAGGGAAAGGTCCGAAAAAAAAAATGGCAGCAAATTTGGGATGTTCAGCATCACAACAAGTTGAGAAATGTCAAGCCTAGAATTGAGCATTGGGATTTTGCTGGAAATCGTAAGGAGGGACGTTCTTTTGACTCGCCTCAGAATTGGTCACACTAGAGTCACACATAACTATCTTCTTAAAGCTGAAAATGAGCCTGTTTGTTTTAATTGTAATGTTTGTTTATCTGTTCGTCATATTTTAATTGAGTGTCCATGTTTTAATAGTCTTCGCCAGAAATATTTTAATAGCTGTGACTTACCTCTCGACCGTTTAATCGGAAGAGAGGTCAATTGTAATTTATTTTATTATTTAAAAGAGATTGGCTTTTATTACCTAATGTAATTTGTTTTGAAGACTGTGTCTTGAATTTTAATGTGTGCTTTTAACTTGTTTTTATATGACTTCATCCTCTGGATTTGGTACATTTGTCTACTTGTTTTTTATTGAATTTTGAATTTTAATGTCATCAATTGTAATCATCCCATCTCGTGTTTGGTGCACTATAATCATCTTTGGTTTTTGCGCCATAATCTCTCACTCACTCTTCCAAAAGTGCAAAAGCATATACATCAATACAAAGCTTGTTTACATGTGACCTTTTGAAAGAATAAATTTAGAAAGAGCAGATGATATTTTTCATTTCTGCTGCAAGAAATTTTTTTCCAAAATAGTCCCCCCCTTTTTTTAAGTTCTGTATTGAAATTCTTATAAAATGTTCTCTACTGCAAAAACAGCCTGTGTATTTGCAGTAGTGACAATTTTTGGTATTTTAGCTTGTTAGAATATTTGTCATATATTTTATATGCTGCAGCTCCTGATTTCTTTTGGTTATGATATTTACTGTCTTATGTATTACATATCATCATTTTTAACTACACGTACCATTAGTTTTCAGTTTTATTTCTGATATTGGCATTGAACAGTTTATTAAAATTTAATAAAAAAGCTATGGTAGTCTTGTGCTTAGTGCAGATTACCTAGAAATGTTTTATATCGAATGTCTGCTAACCTAACTAGCCTAAATAGTTGAAAAGTAAAATTTCCGTAGAAATCATTTCTTTCAAAATCATGCAAACTGACCGTATTTTGCCACTAGATATTGGGTATGATATTCTATTGGAGGAACAAGACTCAAATTCTCTTGACTTGTGGTTGTCTGCTTAATGCGTACTATTTTGTTTGATATGCAGGTATTGGTACATTGCTGTGTAGTTGCAGTGTGAGTAGGCTACCTGAGTGAGCAGAGCAGTTACTGTTGGATTGCTTTAAAGAGGACAGCTGTATAATTATCATTATCTTCTGTGGATTTAGAAGTGACTAGGAGTTACAGGAGTTTTTTCTACTGTCAGCCACTGAGCTTTGTGTCTCTTATAGTGAAAGTGATCTCTCTACTGACAACCAAAGTCATTTAGAACACTGGATGATTACCTTAAAGAGGATTCATTGTATTTCCTTTGCATGTGCTTTATTACAATAGAATTTGGGCCATTTATTGTGATCATTTTGGGCATGGTTATTATTTATTCTATTATTAGTAAATACATTATAGAGACATTAGGTTATTTCGAAGCAAGAGACATGAAAAATGGGCAATGCCCTCGCCGGGACTCGAACCTCTAGTGCGTCGAGTGTGCTGGCTATAACACCACGAAGGCATGCGGGAGAAATACTCCCCCTTTTAAAGGGCGACTGGGGATTAAGGGATCCAATCACTAAATCCTGGTGGTGGATAATCATCATCCATCACCGTTTTTAGTTCAGGCACCACTGTAGAGACTGTAGGTTATTTTGAAATAGGAGACATGAAAAATGTGCAGTGCCCCTCTCCTTGACTTGAACCTCTCAAATACGCACTGAGTGTGCTGGCCATTATATCACGAAGGCATGCTAAGAAGGCGGTAGAAATACCCTATAACATTGTTTACCTCTGTTTTAAAACCTATTGCCACTATGTTTGCTATCATGAGTGAGCATTTGTGAACAAATTCAGCTACTGCCATCAGTTACTGATTGAACCCATGAGTGTCATCATTACCTGAGCATCGCTACCAGTGATCACATTGCCACTGACTACATAAGAACCATTCCAATTATTGCATACAAAATAATTGGAATGGTTCTTATGTATTATCCCATCAGCTGTGAAACTGTCACCAAGCAGCATGATTATAGGTAAGCATAATGTCACTAAACATTTGTACCATCTTTTTTTTCTTTGATGTAACCTTGATTGATTCTTAGTAAACCACCTATTGTTTTTTTGAACAAAAATGTAAGTGAACTGTTATTGCTGAACTTTTTTCTTGTGATGGGGTGGGAAGAGAGTGTAGGTCTGACCAACAAACAGTAATGGATTGGAAGCAACCACAGGCAGGAAGTATATATGGATAGCGTTCTTAACACAGCTTTGAGTAAAATTTAATATCATCCTGTAAAATAATAAAAATTGATCTTTTTATGAAGTTCAAAAGCAAAGCAAGTCAAATGCTGATTATTTATTAAAGAAACAGATGCCAGCTCCTTTAAAAGTCTTCATCAGCAGTTTGTGTGACTTTGGCTGGATCTATGCCAACTTTAATGGTTCGATGATAGCCAATTTTAACAGTCAATGGGATAATATGCAAGTACCATTGTAACATTTTATCTCTAGGAATGATATGTAGTCATTAATTTATTAACATAAGGCAATAAAAGTTTTCCCCTTGTGGCTGAACATTGCTAGCTAAACATTCATTGGAAATGGTTCAACCCATTTGTCATTTAGCCATATCATCATCAAGAACATTGCTGAGGGTGCATGATCAAATTAACTCCATGAATAAGAGGAAGTTGTGCCCATTTGAATAGAAAACACGGTGGGCAATAGATTGAACAGTCTCCTACCTCTCTTTCCCTACCACAACCTCTCAAGAGAACAGACAGTATTTTAAGAGACAGACTTGAGAGTATTGTAAGTGTTCGCATGGCCCTTATATACTATACAAACATCCATGCTGTCTTTGATATATGAAACTCGTCCCAAGACTCTGGTAGCTGGCTCCTGTACCACCATTCCAACGTTGGAATAAAAGGCAATAAAAGTAACATTATTTTCTAAAATTATTTTATTTGAGTTGTTAAAGTTTATTGAGTTGGGGGGGGTACAGAGATTGACTGATCCCTGATGAACGGTACTTGTCGGGCTCTTGGGTAGTATCCATAATGTTATGATGTTACTAGAATATTAGAGCAAGTTTTCTAACTCTTTCTATGCTTCATTTCCCTAGTAAATGTTTGATCACTACGTAGTCTTACATTAGATTTGCTATTTGTGTACATTCTTAACTGGCAAAGTAAGACAACCTGCGTGTAATCATTCGAGCACAAACAACTATCTCTTATATCCAAGGCTCTTATATTGAATGCCTTTAGAAGGTATTCATGGCTCTTATATTGAATGCCTTTAGAATGTGTTAATACTTACAGTATGTATGGTTAATCATGTGGTGATGCAAAGACATACTTAATATGATAAAAATTGCGTAGAGTGTTGTTGAGATTTTAAGTTATCAGATTGAGATTTAACTCAATAATTTTTTTTGCCATTTTTATTGAAAAATTTTAGAATTTCCTTAAAACTTTCAACTGAAGTTCTAAGAAACCACATTTATTGATAATTTACTGTGTATGCATATGCAATGAATCACTGTCTGTGCTTTGTGTGTATGTTTTTAATTGTTGTACATTTGCAGATGTTAATTGAATTTTGCGAAGGTGGAGCTGTGGATAGTATAATGATAGATTTAGAGAAACCACTTACAGAACCTCAAATAAGCTATTTGTGCCATGAAATGTGTAAAGGACTTGAATTTCTACATAGTAAAAAAGTTATTCATAGAGATCTGAAAGCTGGGAATGTTTTACTTACTATGGATGCTGGAGTTAAATTGGGTAAGTGCCCTTAATTTTGTTTATTGTTTGTAAATGAAAATTGGTTCTATCTGTGAATGTCGTTCAACTTATAATTATGTAATATAGTCTCCCCCCCTCCAATTGACTAGAAAGCCCTCTGAAGAGGTTAATGATAAGAAAAGATTGAGATCTTCAGATTCTATCCCTTGTTTTATTTTTTGTTGAAATTAGTATGTTACTTAAAGGGTTAGTCTTCTTGTAGGTACTGAAAGATACTTTTCCAGTGAAGCCATGCTATTAGGGGCTTTTCGTTTTTATATTTTGGCTTTTATTTCCTTAGCAGGAAAGAGTTGCCAGTTAGGTTTACCTTCTTTCCTGGTGATAACTGTTTTTGTAATCATTGCCTGTGCAACTACATTTTGTATCTTTTCAGATTTCTCTCTCTCTCTTTTTTTTTTTAACTGCATTGCATTTTATGATTTTTCACTCTGTGTCCAAAATATTGTTCAGATCAATAGTCGCAAGCTCATGAACCACTTCTGGTCCCCAGAGTAATTTTATGTGGCTCATTTGAGTTATCTATTTGTTGCAAGCACAGTGCTTATTGTTTTAGATATGGACTGAGCTCATGTGTACTACTGCTTTTGAAAAAAAAGAATGACTAGGTTGGGGCTTTGTCACTGTATGCTAGTAACCAGGCCACATGACTAGAATAGGATGGGAGAATTTCCCATTTTTGGTACTATCAGTAAATTTAGTTTGTTAGCTGACAGCTAGATGTGTTTTAGTATTCTGATGTTTCTGATTTTCTATTTCATGTTAAAAGTAAGTTATTTAGTGGTTATTCAACATATTAAAATTATCTAAAATTACTGTTGAGATTAGTGAACCAAGAGGTCAATTAATAGAAAGAGAAAATATTCAAGCAATGGGGGATCACAGCAAAGACCTAGAACACAAACTAGATCAAGAAGTGCTAGGAAACAAGAAATGGAGTTTGCTACCTTATTGTACTCTCAACAACAACAAGAACAAAAATTGGAACAAATTAAAGAAACATTGGTAAAATAGTACATATCTCTGACTCACTTGAAACTTAGAGCTCAAAATGTTAAAAATGGAGGTCTTTTAATTAAAGGATCTAAAAGTGAAGATATGATGACCTTTTGAGAATGCAGTTACTGATAATAAGAATTTGAAAAAATATTTAGATGCCAAAAGACCAAAGAAAATTAATCTAAACTTTCTATGATTTATAACGTTGACCCTTGGTTATCTGGTAGTGATATAGTGGTCATCAAACTTCAAAATGCTTATATGGAACATGCTAAATTTGAATCAAGATTTAGTGTTCAATCAAATATGGTCACATATTGGGTTGTATCTTTAGACCCAGTAACATTTGAGAAGCCACGACAGAAAAGAAAATATAGTCAAAAGTCTTTAATCGGGACTTTGGCGATTCCGGATTATCGGTTTTTCCGGATTATAGATCATCAATTTAAATCTGGTAGGATGGCATGCAAAAATTATTAAAAATATGAAACCGCAATTTATGAAATAAAGAGCAATTATGATCTAAAGGGTATCAAAATTTACAAAAAAAAAGTTTAATATGTATTTGTTTACTTTATTAAACATTTCTTTCAATGCGCACATGCATAAAGCATATACATTACACATAGTCGACATTAGAAAATTGCAACCAGAAAACTATTTAAATGTGTATTCGTGATATTTATAATGACGAGGAATTTCATTTAAATCATATCAAAGACGGAGTACATCGAGATGAAATACTACATTTAGTAAGGAATTATAAGCTGAATAAAATAAAAACATCTGCCCTGAAGATAAGGATAGTGCTGACAGATCAACTTCCAGTTCATTGCGCGCACGCGCGTCCCCGTCCCCCCCCCTCAGAGCCACGTGAAATTGATAAACAGATTTCGGAATGGTTAGAGAAACAAAGGATATGCCTTTATCCATTTTTTGCAGCAATTCCACTTTTTGTTTGATGGACATCAAAACACGCCTTCGCTTTGTAGATCCTTCGGCAGCTCCAGAATTGGAAATTCTTTTTGACATAATCGAAAGTTCAAGCTTACTTTTATAAAATTGCTCTAACAGGCTGCAAAAAATAATAAGCTGGATCCAATTCGAAGATTAAGGAACAATGCAATCTGCAACATTAACTGAATTAGATAATTTTAGCTTAGCTTATACCGTCCGTTATACATTAAACGCGCATGCGTAAATGTATTATGCGCATGCGTAAATGCATATGTGCATGCGCAGAAAGTTTGTAGCTTTGAGGTCCGGATTATAGATCATTTCGGATTATGGACATCCGGATTAAAGACTTTTGACTGTATACTTAAAAGTGGTTTAGAATCAAATTAGAGAGTGTAAGAGGGTCACCAGGCGCTCGCAATGTTATGGTGTCAGCCATAGCAAGGGATTTTGCACAGAAGTGGCACTATCTAATAAATGTAGTCTTGAGGGTTAGACACAGGCTGATTGCTCAGGAAGAAAGTATAAATGCAATGATTGTGCTATTCATAATTCAAGATTTTGCCTTGGACAGTGTTCTTTTTTTATAAGGCTTAAGGTATTTTTCCCACCGCCTTAGCATGCATTCATGGTGTAATGGTCAGCACACTTGGCACATATTCAAGAGGTTCGTATCCCAGTGAGGGCATTGCTGATTTTTCGTGTTTTCCATATCAAACTCATCCTAATGTCTCTACAATGACGCTCGAGCTAAAAAAGGTGGTGAATGATGATTGTCCACCACCAGGATTTGGCGATTGAGTCCCCTAAACCCCCAGTTGACCTTTAAAAGTATATAAGGTGTTTCTCCTGCCTTCTTAGCATGCCTTCATGGTGTACTGGTCAGCAAACTCGGTGCATATTCGAGATGTCTGAAGTTCGAGTCCCAGGGAGGTCATTGCTATTTTTTCACATTCTCCATATGAAAATTATCCTAATTTCTCTACAATGCAGCTTGATATTTTAACTGAAAAGATAAATTATGGATTCTGAGTCCATTAGTGTGAGTGCTCGCTCCCAAAGTGATATTTTTTATAAAACAGGTCTTCTTTAATATTATTGCCATCTGTAAATCGTACATAGCATATCAAATCTTTATTATTATTTGTAGCCTCATCTAGCTGCAATCCAAATTCCACTCTTAGTTTTTTCAGTTAATTGATCCTAGGTGTTCTTTGTCATATGTTTTATTCTCTGACTAATTGTGTTATTTGATGAAAGCACTTTTAAAAACATCTTCCCAGCAGACTCAGCAAATACGGTGTTTATAATGTCTTCAGCAGCCGGTAGAATAAGTTCTGCAATGGTATGAGGCTTCATATATTTCACAATTCTGTAAGCCTCCTTGCAAAAATGTTAGCAAAACGTTTGGTATTGATGCAATCTTAAAAAGTGTAATTTTTTTTTTGGGGGGGGGGGTTTGTTTCACCTCTTTTAGCTTTCTTGCAAAAATTCACAAGGTTTGCCAACCATGCTCTGATGATTAGCTTCTGTATGGCACTTCAATTTACTTGGAAGCATACTGCCAAAACTTTCATACAGAATACACATTGTGCTCTCTGTTCACCATTCATATCTCTTCACATAAAACCAAACTCAAAATAACCATTATCATATTTACGATATTTTCATTTCTTCAAAGTTGTGCCAGTGGTTGATGACATACTTTCTTTATTTGCTCTGTTACATATATTACAAAAATCTGTACAAAAATCAATTTATCACCAAAGATAAAAGCACAAAAAATCACAAAATTGTTTATCAGAAACCACAAATGTTAATAACATTAACTATACTACCTAAACTATAATTTATATCAATAATTATTTATATGAAGCAGGGAGTTTAATTTCTCTAGACTTGGATGATAAACTACAGAAGTATTTTCCTAATAAATCCAGCAATGAAATTGTTACTTTTGCAATGGATTTGACTGCAGTTTCTGAGAAGTATAAATCCTATGAATTCTGACCTGAAAGAAAATTGTGAATATTCGACTCCTGTAAAAAAATGACCTATACACGCAAACGTAAATTAAAGACATGATGAGCTAACTATAGCAACAAGACGAAGAAAAGTTCATGGTTTCATTATACGGAATGAGCCATGAGAAGATCGTTCTGACATTGTATGTGGTCTCAGGTTAGATTGTTGTGATCGAGAAGGCATAGTGCTGCCGTCTCCTGTTCACAAGAATATTCTGCACCATTCACTTTACTTTTATGCTGGGTTAAGTAAAAGCAACTACACACACACACACACACACACACACCAAAAAAAAAAAAGACTAGGCACTTTAAGCTTCTGACTTTGTTAGCCCAGAAGGGCTATTAATTTTATTTTGGCATTTTGCATTGGTTCACTATACATGTCAGTTCACTTTTGAAATTGTTGCCACAAAATATTAGAGCCCTGTGTAATATTTAAAAGAAATTAAATAATGAAGAATCTGCATAAATGTATATTATGTTTATCACATGGTGATAAAACAACGGTATCTAGAGCCATAAAATTTTGAATAATGTAATCTTGCATTGAATATGGGCATCAGGATGCCCAAATTTCGAATTTGTTTTAATATTGATTTCATATTTTGTAACACTTTAATGAATTTTTGATTAACAAACTCAACGATTTCAATGCGAGCAATGGCAATATACTGTAGGGGGGAATTTTTTTTTTTTTGTCTCTAGTGTGCGAGACTGTATATCAGAAATTCTAAAGATATGCTCATTTTCAAATTATTTTGCGATATTGCTGTTGAATTGAATTTGATGGTTTAAGTGTGAAGAATATGATATTTAATAAATAGAGATGGTACACAAAGCATTAGAAAATGCTTCTTTCAGCATAATGTAAAATTTGAAAGCTTTCAGATTTTACAAATATCTTAAGTAATGAAATGATAAAATGCTGAGAAAGTATTATTTTCATTCAGCAAAATATAAACAGGTTTCCTGGGGAAAAAGGAAATCCTGTAGGAATAGGCCTGGGTATGTATACTGATGGTCGTGGTATAGATAAGAATGTAGGTGCAGCTTTTGTAGCCATTTTTGATGAAGGAAAAAGAAATTAAATCGGAGTGTTATTATTTTTCATGCTGAGCTCCTTGCATTTGTAAATGCGTTGGAATGGTTTGATAGTGATAATAAAATAAAGTCTATATCATTGATGATGAGCTTTCTATTTATACTGATTCTCAAAGTATTTTGAAAGATCAGAGTTCTTTAAAACGCCTTTCTGAGAAGGTGTAAGGGTAAGTGTAAGGGATTTTGTATATGATATGAATGCAAAGTTTAAATGAAATATCGATTGGCTAAAAGGACATTAGAATATATTAGGAAATGATACAACAGATGAAGCTGCGAGGGAAGCCACAAAATAATTTAAGACGTGTATATGCAACATCGTTTATGAAATCAATAAAAACTACTTTACAAGATTAAATTTTACAAAGGTGGTAGGAGAGGTGGGATTGTGACACGAATGAAAGGAACATATATATAGAGTTCTACCAAAAGTAAATTGGAAAAGATTGTGTTGCAATCAATTGCTTAAGTTATTAATCGACCATGGTCAGTTTCATGACTATTGTTTTAGATTTCATATGAGGCTAATAAATTGTCTCTGGACAGTTGGGCCATTTAGCAACAAGTTCACATTATATATATACAGTACAAAGTCTGTAATCACGACTCGTTGGGACTTCGGCGATTCTGGATTAAGGGTTTTTCCGGATTACAGATCATCAATTTAAATCTGGTAAGATGCCATGCAGAAATTATACAATTAAAAATATGTAACCGTAATTTATGAAATAAAGAGCAATTATGATCTAAAGGGTATAAAGTTTACAAAAAAAAAAAAAAAAAAGATTAATATTTATTTGTTTACTTTATTTAACATTTCTTTCAATGTAAGTTGTTTAAGTTGCTTCGTTTTTTTGTGCTAAACGCGCATGCATAGACATTAAATGCGCATGCGTAAGTGCATTACGCTCATGCGTAAAACATAAAAAAAAGTTTGTGGTTTTGAGGTCTGGATTATAGATCATTCCTGATAATGAATCTTTCCGGATTACAGACTGAGTACTGTATATGGGATTATCCACTTACAGAACCCATTAAAATGGAATATTATGGAAATATTGCGAAGTCTAATGAAAAGTTCCTATGTATGACTGAAAAGGCTAGGCAGGGCATTGCTGAAATTATAATTAATGTAAATAGGTATGAATACTTTATTCTTGGAGATGTTTAGACATGTAAAAAAAAGACGTAAAAAAAGATTTATTTGAAAGTTAGGACTGTGCGTTATTATTTTGAGTTTGATTACTCTGCAGAACCACTTAGTAAGTTTTATTACATGTTTGGGCTGTAATACTCTTGTTATTAAGGAGAATGAGCTTTTTGTACAAATTGGAGAATTTTGTTAATTACTTTTGATATATAATATGCTTGTAAATATGGTTTATGCTATTGTGTAATATTGCCAAAATGTCGAAGCTATTGCTGATTTGACTAATTAAGAAACTATAAGTAAAAAGGAAAATAATGAGAAATTATAATTTTGCTTTTATGTATGTAAATAAACAAATTTGTAATAAGGAGTACATAAAAAGAAATATTGTAATTGTGTCTCTTAATAGAATGGGATTTTGTTTAAAATGAATTCACCACATGGTGGATGATGCTTGTTGTTTGTAAGGATATTAATTGTTCATATTTTTGTTTGTAAATACTTTTCTTTAGTTTGTATTATTCTGAATAAAGGTCAAAATGACCCTGTTGGCGAGACCAGCACATTTTCCTCGGAGGATGAGTTGTCTCATAAGTAGATTAGTTCCTAGTCACTTTTTGATTGTTTAGCTTATGGTGCTGGTTATGCCAGTTCAGCAGTACGACTTTATTAATCTTAAATGGGTAAAATTTTTAGCTAATTGTTTCCAAATGTAAGTTATATGGATCTGAAATTAAAACTGAAAAGTTTATTTAGTATTCTAATTCAAATAAATAAGAAGACTTGGAAAGTTTTCTTTTGGCATTTTAATTACCTCCACTTTTCGTAGTTCCACTTGCCAAGTGGCAGTATTATTGAAAACTGGTAGTTTGACTTGTTTTCAAATCTTCGCAAATGGGCTGGCTGCATAGGGAAATGGATAGTTTTTCTCATGTAAGTAAATATGAGCCATTTCTGATTCAGAAGTCTTGTGTGAAGATATTCCTATAATAAAGTACATAATACTTCAAGGTAAATGCTACAAAATCATAGGCATAAAAATTAGATAGTTTTAGAATCCTAAAAAATTGAACTTTCAAATCAAATGTGATAAATTTTAAAATTTCTCTTCAGACTGGAAATATTATCTTTGGTTGCAGAGGAATAACATTTGTATTCTTGAATTCTAAGGCACAACATGTGTTAAACACTATAAGGAATAGAGTTTTAATATAAAATACGTTTTAAATGTTGTACATTTCTGCCATATTTTTTGTGGTAGTTTCTTTTATGTAGAGCATGTAGTCTTATATTTATGTTATTTAAATTTATTATATTTATTATATAATTATATTTATGTTATTATGTTTTTTTAAAGCCGATTTTGGTGTGTCTGCTAAAAATAAAGACACCTTGCAGAAGAGAGATTCATTTATTGGGACTCCTTATTGGTGAGTTAATTTCTCTGAATATGATATTAAAATATTTCAGACAGCTTTTTTGGTATTTTCATATTTTGCCATCAACCATTTCAACAAATAAAAGCCATTGCCAAACAGTGCGATTTAGCACCAGTAATAAATAAGTGTGACATCACAATCTAATCATAAGATAGAGTAAAAGTCCAGAAATCCGCAAAGTTTGGGACCAGAGGTTGTATGGATTTTAGGATTTTGCGGATTTCAGGACAGAAAAGATAAATCTTAATATTCAGACTAAAAGTGCAAATAAATAAGGCATATTAGATACATTTAATTAAATTATTGTATGCTTATTACAATAATTTATTATATGCCTTAAATTATTATTACATATATAAATTGATTATTATATTATTCATTTACATTAGGCCTCTTTTTTTAAATCAGCATGAATCTGCTTCCCCTTTTCTCTCAAGAGCAGTCCTGAAATTGGTATTCTATCACTCCGCCACTGCCGGAAAGACAGCCATCGAGGTTTGCCAATTTCGCATCATGTAAAGATTTCCGGTATTAAAATCACTGTTGCTGTAAAATTTCAACAGCTTTTCTTTATTTTTCCATACATCATACACCGTCCGTGTCACAATTCCATAGGATTCTGCTATGAATTGAGAAGTAGCACCAGCCTCCATCTTTTGCAGAATTTCCACTTTTTGCATTACCGTGAATGCAACGAGTTTACGTTTTTCAACTTTGCATGCAGTAAAATCATGAGTGCGTTTCTTATATCTGTCATATTAAAAAGCGCTAAAATTTAAAATATTCTTAATTTATCCACAAAATATCCAGATTAAAAAAAAGGCAACACTAAACAATCCTGGAAATAACAAAGTTCAGAAAGCACAACGTGAATCGTGAACTTGAAAGAAGAGTTGTGTGAATCATCTGCTTTTTTTCCTTGATGCAGATTGGAAGTAAAAAACTTTTATCATGATGTCAATAATTTGGTATTTCCTTTATGATTCATTATTATATTAACATGGAGTATCCCGATATTTGATACTCCATGTTGCGGTTTCCGGAACCTATAAACTGAATGTTTATATTTTGAGAGGCAACACGGATTTCAGGAGTTGGTGGATTTCAGGTCGGCGGATTTTCAGTATTTGACTGTATTTGCTTTCGTTTTATGTAATGTTAAGAAATTTGTGATAAACCAACATATTCAAGTCCTACCTTTTTTTTATCTGTATTTATTTAAGTTTCTTTGAAAGACCAATAACTAATGAATTACAAACTGCAGGCATGGAATATTTTCAAGTTAATCAATGTTTCAGTTTTCTAGATGCCAGTACTGGTGTCCATCCTGAAAATGTTGAAAGACTCAGATTCTGCAACCGATGCTATAGAAAGAATGACAGAATCCTGCTTAAGAATCATATTTAAGCGAATTTATGTGATGCTGAGTTCATAACAGAGATGACTGTTTTATTATTTTAAATGCCATAAAGCATTGCTGACTGCCAGAATGATTGCCTCAAGTTTTAATTAATGTGTTTGTGAGATTATCTCAAAGCTTAAGCTTATATTTATTTAAGATTTTCATATGCTTTATCCATAATATATATCTGTTGATTATGTAATTTAATATGGTCTGTGATTATGTAACTAATTTTCCTTCAAAATTCCACCAAAAATATCGGGACAAATATGGGAAGATTTTCGCCAAGGAGAACTGCCTTTCATGGTGAATGGGAAAATATATACCAATTTTACAAATGCTCTGAATTTAATTATCTTGTATTTTAATGATCCATGTATTTTTTTATAATGGTGTATACATTTTATGTAACAAATTTGTAAGCTTGTTTTGCCCAAAGTAATCATTATAATTTGTTGTTTTCAGGATTTCTTTTATTGCCATGATTTAATTAGTTATTTTGAGAATCTTTCAGCTGATATGCAAAAGACAATAGGATTTCTACTTAATATATTAACATGAGGTGAATTCTTCTAACAACAGAGCCAATCTAGCAATATGTTTAGTAAAATCTTGTTTATCCATAACGTTTTGAAAAGCAGTGCAGTCTTTAATGATTCTAAATGGAATACCTAATAAATAAATTCAAAGCATTATTAATGCTTCTATAGCAGCTAAGACTTCAAGCTCATAACTTGAGTATTTTATTTTTATATGAATATTCAGGCAGTAGTTAATCAGTGAATCTGTGTAGTTGATTTTGTTTACTTCAGTATATGGTAAATTACTAAGTTTATCCACATAAATACTACGGATATTGATTATTACTTTTATTTTCATTTCAGTACTTTGATATACAAAAGCTTTTCTTCACTGCTCAGAATTCTTTTAGCAAAAAAGTGTAAGAAAATTAAAGTAAATTAGCCAAAGAATATAAAATTTAGAATATGCCATTAAATATTTGTGCACTTTACATCTGAACTGAATTACAAATAGTTCATTAACCCAAACAAGTGAAGTGCTAAAGTGAATAAGTCAGTTTGTAATTTCCTTGTAGTAGTGTTGCCATGTAGGTAGAAAACCTCCCAATTTCTCCCGCTTCTCTCACAAAAATCTCCACTTTTTAAGATTTGCAGCTGTGATATGAGAAAATCTGGTAATTTCTGGTTATCTGTACCCTTACTGAAAAGTCATATTTGTCAACTTTGGAGAAATATTACAGACTCACTGCAATAATTTTTTGCCAAACTAGTGCACAGAGGCAAGAACTGTCATCAGAATAATGAGGCACTAAAAATTCTGTAAAAGAAGAATCAATGAATGCAATTTAAAATATGAGAAACATCGACAATAAAATATATTAAATGCTTGATTATATGGAATGCTCGGGAAATGTCATATTTCAGATAATGAAATTTCTGCAAAGTTGAGCATATACAAAATGCAATTAATGGGAAAAGCCACGTGAATGGAGAAATTTTAAAGATCAATTATAAGCTCACTGGCAACTACCGTATTTGACGGCATATAAGACGCACCCTTATTTAGACGGCCACACACAAGGAAAAAGTTTCAATATCGTGGTTTCTTTTAGTTCTCACATTTCGTAAAAGCCAAATAAACAATTATTGAATGAAATTACCTTCACGTATAAGACTGTGTCCTTCACATATAAGAGGCAGGTAACTTTTTTGAGACCAAATTTAGGAAAAAAAGTGTGTCTTAATATGCCGTCAAATATGGTAATTTTTCGTCAAACTAATGCACAAAGACAAGAACTGAATTTAAAATGGTTACCCTCTAAAAATTCCATAAAAGAGCAATCAATCAATAAAACTTGAAAAGTAAGAAACGTCAATAATATAATACAATAAAGCTTGACTATCCAGAACACTTAAAAAATGTTAAAATGCAGATCCATTTAATTTTCAGATAATGAGTGTATACAAAATGCAATTTTCAGTAGGAAAACCATGTGAACAGAGAATAAAATTTCTGGTCTAAAATAATAAAAGCAATCATCTTTGTTGAATATAAAAAAAATGTACATTTAAAATTATATAGTTTCGAAAAAGCATTATTTCATCTGTCAAATCTGGCGTATTTCATAGGCTTCTAATACATGAAATTATAATATCTTACCTGATTATAAAATTCCATTAATCATGACAACTAAAGAAAAGGCTTCTAATACATGAAATTATAATATCTTACCTGATTATAAAATTCCATTAATCATGACAACTAAGGAAAAAAGTAACATAAGAATAACAAGGAACTTCTGATGGGAATTCTCATTAGAAATTCTTTAGATAATAATTCATTATTTTCTTTTCTGTATGATGTATCCTATTACAAGGGTGAGTTCTAGTACTATATGCTGGGTGCACCAGTGGGGCAGGGAGTGTAAACAATATGTTCTAAAAAGAGAGCCGTGTATTTCTGTTCACATTTCAGAAGTTTTTAGTGGAGTTTCAAGAGTCTTGTATGTACTTACTGACAGTTTTACAAATACAAGTTTTCCATTTACTTAATATTTTAGAAAAGGTGTTTGAAAAAATTGAAACAAAGACATTTTTTATCACGTTGACAAGCGATTTTGGTAAGGTTTTCCTCATTTGATCGTAAATCTTAATCTAGAACCGATACCATCTCTCAGCACCAGAAAAAGGTCCTTGTTCCTAAATTCAAAAAGCTCACACCAGAGTTGGCTAGTTCCACCCATCTTGTTAATTTTCCTACTGTAAGTATCTCCAAAGTTAATTTTTAATATCTCTGAAGTTAATCTTTCAGAGGATCAAATAAAAGTATTAAAATATAACTTTTCGAAGACATCTAAATCTTCATTTCCTCAAATCATCATCCCTATTGTGAAAGCTTTTAAATTCTCTAAAATTTCAAAAACACAGAAAGGTACAATCTGCAGCTTAATTATGAGTAATGGGAATTTTAATAACAAAACGTTTGTTTCAAACCTTAAACAAAAGGAAAGAGAGGCCTTATATGAAATTCATTCTAACATTATAATTTCCCAAGCTGATAAAAGCACACAGTTCATTGTTATGGGCAAACATGCATGCATTGGTGGAATCACGAAACTGATCAATGAAGGACCATACTGCTTGATACCTAAAGATCCTTCAACTTCTGACCTCATGAAAGTCAAAACAGCTGTTAAATTGTCTCATGCACTCCCAACTCAGTTTAAAAAATTACTTATTCCACCTATTGCTAACTGTGCTAGATTTTATGCTGTGCCCAATCCACAGAATTGGAATTCCTTTTCGACCTATAGTTTCCAACTTAGTAACAGCAGCGTGGCCAAATATTTGGTTTTCATACTTTCTCATTTACTTTTTAACGATATTCACAACATGAAAAATTCTTTTGAAGTCGCCAATAAATTTTAAGACACATGTCCCCCATACTGCATTATGATTTCTCTTGGTGTTAAAACGCTGTTTACTAATGTGTTCTAGTAGAAGGAGCACTGCAATATCTTGAAACTAGGCTTTGAGAATTCCATTTTACACATGAAACTGAAGAGTTT